CTTCTTGTACTTCTCCTCTTGATATATTAAAGTTTTCTATAGCAACTTGTCTAGAAATGTTGTGATATTTTGGTATCGCTAAGAAATTTTATAGCAATTCAGTCACTCAGACTAAGAAAATATCAAATTAAGACAGGGAGGTCAGTGGGTGTCAGTACTGTGTGTATATTTTAATGATGCATCAGGGAAAGATAGCTGGGATCTATATTTTAAGATTTGTGATAATTGGGGTCAGGGTACATAATTAATAATGGCTGGGAACTAGTCAGCAGTGAGATGGGAATTTTCCACATTTATTAATAGTACATGAGCTGTAAGTACTTCCATTTTTGTCATTGTCCCTGCTTCTATTTCTGTTATCCTTTTTTTTTTTTTTTTAAATGTAAATAAAACATCATCTAATCCTTGAGACTGGAACTACCATCCAGAAGGACCTCAACAGAATGGAAACAAGGAAGCTGATAGGCATCTTATGAACATGGAAAATGCCAAGTCATGCACTTGGAGGCGAGGAAGGAGGGATGAAAGGAAGGAGGGAGAGAGGGAATGGTAGAGGAAGGGACGGAGGAAGGAAGGAAACGAGGTAGGAAGGAAACAAGGTAGGAAAAGAAGGAGGGAGAGAGGGAATGGTGGAGGGAGGGATGGAGGAAGGAAGGAAATGAGGTAGGAAGGAAATGAGGTAGGAAAGAAAGGAGGGAGAGAGGGAATGACAGAGGGAGGGATGGAGAAAGGAAGGAAATGAGGTAGGAAGGAAGGAAATGAAGGAAGGAAGAAGGGAAATGAGGAAGGAAGAAAGGAAGGAAATGAGGAAGGAAGGAAATGAGAAAGGAAGGAAATGAGAAAGGAACCTGAATAAATGCTTGATGTAATCACCTCGTTCTGGCTGATTATTCCCAAATCCCGAGCCCATCCAGAACAAGGTCTCAAAAAAGGAAGGCCCAAACTGTATTTTTGAGCCTCATGAATTTTCATAAGAAAATTAGAATGCACTGCTTTAATACACATTTGTTAACAAATCTTTCAGGCATAATCACCCTGACAAGTCACAGGACTGAAAGCAGAGATAGTATAAAAATAAACACACTCTTATTCATAAAGGCTGAAGAAATTTGAAAAACAAACATGTCATGTGATGAAAGAACAATCACGTAACAAATAGAAATAATAATTTGTAATTATCTAAAGCAACACTGGGGTTCATGATTACTAAGGTTATGGAGGTCAATAGGATAATGTTTGTTTTTTAAAAAGTGACGTTTATTAAATATATTTAACCCTTCCCTAAACTACAGGCTAAAATCCTGCCCCTTAAATCAAAATTTTTAGGATGATCTATATTTTTGTTTCTCAAAAAACATTTCTGAGCTTATTACTGATTGATGAAATTATAAATGTCATAAGGTACCATATTTTTCCCAGATGTCTCATTGCCTGTCAATGATTGTTCATACCTCATCATTTTCTAGCTATTGTACAAATATTTTGTGCTTATTTTTAGCTTTACATTTTGAACCATCTTTTGAATTTTAAAATTTTCAGAGTTGAAATTTTGCTCATAAATACACTATATTCTGATCTAATTTTCTTCACTATAGTCTTTTTACTTGCACAAGTACTCAAGACAATTTAACACAGATAAGATTTGGTGAGAAAGACATACGTACATAGTAATGGACATGTTTCTCCCAAAATATCATAAACAATTCTTAATTCTTCTTCCTGTAAAGTTTAATTCATAACTGAATTGAAAACACATGAAAACACTGGAGTTTGTCCTCAGAATGTCTGTTTGAAAACTGCTTCTTTTTTCTTTTTACTACTGGCATATATAAGTATCTTTTATACATATAAGTATCTTTTTAAAGTTCAGGGACTATGACTTTTTTTTTTCTTTCTAATTAGTCAAAGAACTGGGTGAACAAGCAATATATTAACTTGTTTAGCATACAGCATTTAAAATTTATTGACATCAATACTTAGCAAACTTTGCAGTTGTTACGTACGATCACCGCGGCAAAGCAACGGCCCAAGCTTGTAAGCCGCTTCAGAGTTTGGTCTGTCAGTGTCTGTGATCACCATTTCTGTTACTGGGAGATGGTCCTTGTAGGAGAGGAATCCAGTATCGTTAGTCCTGAAAGGTAAAATGCAGCCAGAACTCTCCTAAATGTTTTGGATAAACACATTTCCTTATTATTGATACATTTTGGGAGAGGAAGAAAGAATTATCAGAAAAGAGCTTTGGCAACAGAAGTGACCGCAAATATAAATGTGAGCATACTTCTGTATGCTTTGGTATTGATACTGCGGTCATTTAAAGAGGTGAAAACAATCGCATGAGAAGTGAGTAGGTTCATTGTTGTACTCATCTGTAAAATCACGAGACAGTGTATTTGATAGTGTCACAACTGAATTTCATTAAACACAGGTGTTGACATTAAAATTGCTTTCACCAAAGGCATGGAGATATTTAACCACCCGGGACCATTTTGGAAAGTCCAGTCCTTCCACCTAGTCCATTCCTAAGAGATACCCCACTTAATGGACCCAGAGACATCGGTAGGGACATGGAGTGGAATTCATGTTGCTTAGAGATTAAATGCTAGAGATACATTTCAGACAGCAAGCTCTTTGGGATTGGGGTCAAACTTAGCAACCACACTACTCTCTCAGCCTGCTACATACACAGGGAATGGGAAGAGATTCCCCGAGAGAGCTGAATGAAATTAGTGTTTTTTTTTCTCTTATCCTTATAATCATCACCAATCTTCTCCCCATGGACAATTTATGTCTATCCATTTTGCAACTTCATGTGAAACATTCAAAAACAACTTGTATATTAATTTTTGATGAGGGGAGATATAGCGCATTTCTGATTAGAACTAACAAAAGTAAAAATTGGTAAAATCGTTTGCTTAGCATAAAGCTATGTTATAAATAAGGCAAAATGAGAGGAAAATATCTTACATCTTCTGTAGATGGTATCTGCTTGCTCAGAGATTTTTAAGAAAGTGTTTTTTTTTCTTTTACTCTATTTTCAGATTGAGTATGGTTTATATATATATATATTTTTATATATATTTTTGAGTAGTCTAACAAGGGCGTCTACAATTTTACTTGTAGCCAGGCTACAAAATCACATATATTTCACTACGAACTCACAGTTCCAAGGCTATGTCTCATAAACATATGGTGCATAACTGTGTTTCTGCATGCTCATTCAGAAAGGGTCTCAACAAGATAACGCTTCCATCAGCACTTGCTGCTATACGAGCAATACTGAAGTAACTGATTCAAACCATTGGTCTCCAGGAATTCATAGGTAATGTTAGGCACAAATACCAGAATGAATATAAAGATAGGGTCCATACCAATGAAGTTACTGGGATAGGTTTCTTCATTTAAGATTAAAAATAATGTGTCATACATGCAGAAATATTATACCAGAGCCATTATACTTCCTATTAAATGTATTCAGCAAAATACAAATTACTCAGATTGCTAATAGCGGATACATGCATCCATGATTTGTATCTGGATAACCTTCTATTTCCTTTATACACAACTATGGTATCACTATAAACTATGCCTATGAATGTGAGCATGGATTAAACAAAAGGCAAAAATGAGCAAGAATATCTTATACATACTAGCAACTACTCAAAGTCCTGTGTCAAAATGTGCTTATTTTCTAACATTTATTTCGTGGTTTGGAATCATTAATTGCTTATATTTTTATATAGCACAATAATAGGGAAATTCTTAGTCTGCTAGGTATTTGTTTAAGCTCTTTATTACACCGAACACAGCAGATACTACTTACCGAACTTTATTGCAGACGTTATGTTCTTTTTGTTTGTAAATCTATGGCAACTTCTGATACTTGTAAGGAATTGTGGTGAGTCCTTTATTATATTCTCACTTCTGTATCTGCCAAGTTTGCTACTCATGACAAGAGTATCGGCATTTTCAAACCAAATTCACTAGCTATTTCTTGCTTGATTTTCTACATATCACAAGATGTTCCTAATTACCTTCCTTACATACTCTATTCTCCCTCCCAGAGCTAGATCCTTTAGCTGATACTGCTACTAAAAAATACATGCATTAATGTGCATACATTACCTACCAATTGGATAGGATTTATAGACATTAAATATGCTTTAAAAAGCTTAAAATCTTTAAAAAAATTCTTAAACAGTGAAATTTTAATTTAACATTCCTAGCCTGGTTAATCAAGTACCTACACTGCACTGGAGCTATTATTGAGAAAGCGGGATCCAATATACTAAATAAAAGTTAGGTTTCAGATTTGACTTCATAGCAGGGACTTATTTTTGATGTTATTTATTTAATTTGGCTCACAAATGCCACAAGATTAATTTCAGGTACACGCAGAAGATCTAAATTCTAGAAATACTTCTATTCCTTTGACTAGGATTTCACATGAATGCTTGACTCTGCTGCCTCAAAATTCAATTATTTAAGTTTTAGATAATTAACCTAGCGGAATTTGGAGTAAAAAAGTTTAGGCTTAAATGCAATAAAAATAAGATTAGACATTCCTTGAAATCTTCATTTATTTTTTTCTAGGACCTCATGGTTTAAACTACCTTCAATACTATGAATTTAAAAACTGAAGTCACACTGAAGACATGAGCTTACCTTCTGAAAATATAAAATTCAATTTGTTCCAAAAATGTACAATATAAAATAAATCCTTCCCAAATAACTCTTATAACCCTTCAAAACAAGCAAAAGAATTAACAATAATGTTGATGTATTCAGTTCTAATTTGCTGAGAAATCATATTTTATATCAAGAAAGCAAATGACAGTGTGGTCATTTAACTTTACAACAGCCCTGGCCTTACAAATCTGCTAAAGTTTATGTGTATGTGTACCCAATCTATCCATTTGCTAACAAGAAAAAGTTATCATGAATATACAACAGTACAAAAATCACCATTCATTTCGGTCAGCATCACAGTTGCAGTAATGTTGGGAATCAATGCATCTCCCCTCTAATCCACAAGCACATTTTTGAACGGTGGGCAAGGAACCTCCCCAGTATGTCTGTGTTTCATTGGTTCTTCCAATCCACCAGCTCAATGGCCTCCCATCTGAAAGTAGGTTAGAGAAAATCAGTGCCCAGTTTATCTCTTGCTTCTCCCACTTTTTCTCATCCAAATAGTTTTCCAAAATGTTAAGCAAGAGAAATCAGCTCTCAAATCTAAAAAGTCTAAACAGATGAAAAAAATTGACTTGGATAATGATAATTAATAATCCATTTTAATACTTCCCTAGCAGGTATTGTCACAGGTTTTTGCTTGAATTAATGTAAAAGAGTAGTCAGAGTCACTAGCTCAACCAGCCATGATATTAGAATCATTTATCTTAAGCAGTCCATTTACGCTATATTTTAAAATACCTCATGAAAAAGGAGATGCCATCACCCTAAAAATTAAGGTAGCTGATATTTCCAAAGAAAGATCCATTTCAGGTTGCAGAACTACCAATTTCTCTATGTGGAGTGTGAAGAGTCAAAAAAAAAAAAAAAAAAAAACCCCCGGAAATCGACTCCTCCCATTATCAAGTGTACTGTAGAGTACCACACCTATCTCTGATGCAGATTAAGCATCTGAACAGAACTGCTGTGTGATGGTAATCAGATATGCCCAAAGAAAGGTGTTAGATCACAGGCAATGGATTCAGAATTTATATACTTAGAGGCTGCAGCAATCATATTAATGATCATGCTTAAAAAGAAAGTAGATGTATCCAGTGGGTAGAAATGAGGTATCCCAAGCCTATTACCTCTCTGTGGAGTGCATCGGGTCATCATTGTTTATAGCAAAATGATAAAACTAGGTATTTTCTTAATGCTACAGCTTTGCACATTAAACTCAAAGACGGTGCCAAGCAAGCATAGCAATAAATAGACAAAATATACAGAGCAGATAATCGTTAAAGAAATGAAGCATAAAGATAAACCATCTCAAATGAGAGAGAAGAAGGGTAAAAGATGCAATGAATGAAAGTTGGAGCATAAGAAGAAATTCAAATACTGTTAAATAGTAAAGTTCCTTGTAGATACACTTCTTATTGATGTTGCTGAAATTCAACGTTTTCAGCAGCAAGCCTCCACAAAGAAGCTGGAATTTATCCTAGTTTCAGCTTTGCCTACAACTGCCACTGCTTATTAAACTTTGCTGTTAGATAAGACCTCTGTTACACTGACAATCTCTGGGCTCATAAACATATTGGCTGCATTCATTACAACACAACTGTCATTCCAGCAGGCCAAATAACAGTGAGAACAGTTTCTGGAAAAGTCAAACTTGCATAATGGCCAGTATGTTTCCATTTTCAAGCCACCACAGGGGGAAGAAAAGCTAGCGATAGTTTATAAATAATTTACCAGTCAACACTTTAAAAATCTTCCAATGATAAGGACTACAAAAAGCAGTGTATTTCTGCCATTTGAACAACATACCTAAACCTTACATTGTAGTTATGAGTTAATATCCTCAATCTTTGGCTGGGGACATTGGGGAGCATTTAAAAGCTTGCCTGAGTTACTGGTTCATAAAGCTAGGTGAGAAGACAGTATTTACTGAAACACTGCAAGTTCACACTGATTAATCCAAGCTGGTATTTCTGCTTTAGCAGTAAATATTGTCTAGAGTAAAATAAAGCTAATAAAAAGGGCTTGAGATTCCTCAAAATGAACACACAGATACAGTAGCAGGTAACTTCTTTCCTGACATGATTTGAAAATATTGTACAGGGTGGCTGACTGTAATGTATTCTTAAAATACAGTCAATCAAGAATTATTGCCTGCACTGCATGTCCTCAAATTCACTTAATAAGAGTATCATTTTTTTTTTGTCAGACATGCTTATTGGAGGTTACAGAAGTGGGTGGGATTAAATTGTTCATGCAATCTGATAATATACTATTTGCATTTCAAATCCTTCTATTTAATTATGTTCATAATAACTTTCCCTCTTCGTAATAATATTCCCTCTTTCCTCCATACTTCTCAGTGGAAAATTATATTTTGAAGAATAAAGAAATGAAAGTGAGATAGGATTGTTAATTCATCCAAATTTTTGCCAAGTGGGGGCTACTGGAATGATACGCAGGAGATGAAGGAGACCTTTTATCTGATTGAACGACCTTGGAATTTTAAAAAGTTGCTAGATTTCTTCTGAGGTTGTCCCTTCTAGTGAAAGAATGTCCTAAACTTATATTGACAAGAAAAAAATAGCGATGACAAATTGGAGGATTTTCCCACTAATAATATTTTACAGCTTGTATTCTGAGGAGTTTAAAGAATTAAAATATTTGCTGCAAGAAAAATATTTTAGGATGTGTTTAAAACCCATGTTGTTGACAACACGGACTGGAGTTTGATTAAACACAATAGACACAACCCAGTTTTAAACAGTGCTTACCTGTGCACTGTCAATTTTTCTTCAAAGTAGATGTCTTGAGCACTTCTACAAGTGTACAGCTTACAGAAGCTAACTCAGCAGGACTATCTATCTCAGGTAATTCTGTGTATATCTCTGCATTATTGTGTTATTCTGAGATAGATATCTGATCCATGCTGTTTAAAGATGGCTTGGTCAGGTCTTCTTAATCTATAGTCACTACAGTGATCATGTGTAAACATAGCCCTAGTTTTCCACTGATAGACAAACCTCACAGGTGTCAATGTGCTCCAAAATTCCTTGCAAACTCCCAGTGTTTGCTGCTGATAGAGCATAGATGCTGAAGATACCATTGCACACTAATCACTAAGTTTCTTGAAAAAATGAGCACCTGAATACACATTTTTGAGCAGGAAAACCAAACCAAAACAAACAAAAAATAATCCCTTTTCCTCCCTCTGAACCTCTGATCAGTATCTTAGCACTGCATAAGGAGGCATCTTTTTCAGATGGCTTTCTGTTAATATGTCTCAGACAGGGTCTAGTCTTATTGGCTTCTTCTGCAACAGTTATTACACTTGAAATGGGCACATCTGATTTCCTAAATGTAAAAAGAATGAGTTTTATTTTAAAGAAGTGATTTAATCAAGAATGCTAAAAGGAGATAAGGAAAAGGTAAGAAGTTAGAAAAATGTAGCTCTGGCTGATTTGAAATAGGGTAGAGAACATAAATCCTAGATCTCTTTTTAACAAAAAAAAAAGATTATTATCTCAACCTTACATCAGGAAACTCTGCATTGACTTTGATTAGAAGTGTCAGTAATGAAGCCACGACTGAACATTAGTAGATGTTAGCTTTCTCTTACCTTAGTGCTCACTCTCTGGATTGACTGAAATCCTCCCCTACCTAACTTACACAGAAGTCACATGCTAATTCAAAATTCTAGATATCGAATGATGTAAAATAAGGGACTTGCACCCTGACTTCTCCTTTCAGGTATTTCAGCTTTGTGTTTATATTTGTTTTGTTTTTGTCTTACTTTGCAAGGCATTTAGTAGTCATAAGTAAGGAGGCAGAATATATACAGAAAGGAGTGAGGGTGAGACCAGAGACTACAGAACTCAAATGCCTCCTTTCTCCTCTTGCTCTATTATTAGGAAAAAAAAAAAAGAAAAAAGTCAGGAAAAATTTCAGATACCCATTTTAGTTTGGTTTTGTAAGAGACAGAAAACAATGTTTTTTTTTTCCAAAATTATTTTGTAATATTTAATGAATTAAAGCAGATTTTTACACACAAGCCTGCTAACGGCAGATATGCCTCAATGAGAGTTAAAATGTGAATTTGACTATCTACATTAACTTAAGTACATCAGAGAACACCCAGTAATTCTTCTCTTAAAGCAAAGATATTTTTTTCAGGTATCCACAATTTAAGCACAATTTATATATTTTATATTAACAATACAACACCTAAAAAGTACTTTGTATTTCTTCAGTACTTAATAATTGACTAAAAATTCCAGAAAGTAAACCAACAGGAATCTATTAATAACAATCTCTGTTAATTTAATAGATTTACCAAAAAAAATAACTTTGAGAGTAATTAATACTGTGAATGAAAATCAGCATAAACCAAAATCGGTATTTTTCTGGTTCAAATACAGGAATTTGATTACTAGATATTTAAAAATATTGTCATAAAATGGAAAAATGTCTCGCGCTAGAACTAAATATCTGCAGTATTTAGTAAAATAAAAAGCATTAAGCATCATAATAAGATGTGTTTTCTTTACTTACCCTGTTTGTCTAAAAGCCTTGACTTTTTGCAGTGGTAAGCAAGCTCCTGTTCACAGTGTTCTGCATGGTTAATTGTAGCCTGCAGCTGGTCCAGACTGGCAGAGTACTTGAAAAAAACAGTGTGTGGGTTCTCTCGATTAGCACTTTTGACTCTGGTTAAGTTGGTGTTGTTGTGCTGTATAATTGTCCACGTTGTATCTTGGAAAACATATGTGAAAATTAATACAGAATGTGAAAGAATTACAAAAGCTGGCAAGGGAAAGA